TCGAAATGAGACCATACATCTTGTCTGATCCTATTTTCGCCAACCCAAAATCAGAAACTTTGGCTCTGAAATTTTGATTCAAAAGAATGTTACTGCATTTGAAATCACGGTGGATGACTGATGGGGTTGTGTATTCATGCAGGTATTCAAGGGCTCTAGCACAATCCAGTGCTATTCTCAACCTTATTCCCCAGTTCAAAGTCCTACCAAATTGAGGATTGGAAGAGTGAAGAAGCTGCTGCAGAGTTCCAGTGGGCATGTATTCGAATATTAGGAGCCTGTGATGTTGATCAGCACAATAGCCAAGAAGCTCCACTAGGTAAGGTGAGTGCAAGTGGCTAAGTAAATCCACCTGCCAAAGCACAAGGGACAACTTCAATTTCCTGTACAGATTTGAAGGAGTTCATACTTTTGTATTTATTTGCAACATTACAAATATCTTATGATAAGATTGGAGAGCACTATCACTTCAGTGGATTTTTGTCTTCATTATTTCACACCCATGTGCCTTTGTTTGAGGGAATTCATATGCAAGTACATGGTATACACTTGCAAATAATGGGATGAGGGAGTAACATTCCTGACAGGTTCTATGAGGCAAGAAGGTAACAAACGGCAAAGTTGCAGCAGAATGAGTGGCAGCGTACTCGTGTGGGCATGTGAATGAATGTACCTATGGCTCTTTAGTTACTTTCTTCTATATATATATATATATATATATATATATATATATATATATATATATATATATATTTTTAGCAATTTTTGGGGAGAGAAAAGTCAACAGCTAAAGTAATTGGAGTAGTTTATCCAACTTTGAGTTAACTTATAAGAAGCTGTTAGTAATTTCAAAACTGTTGTTTATGCAGTATTATAATCACAATCAGCCACTAAGTCAACATCCTACAAAATATAGCTTTTTCTCAAGTCATATTTAATATTTGATGGCAACTATTTCTACCTTAAAGGTTGGGTTGGTTGGTTATGGTTCATGTGCAACTAACCATTGACTAGGATGGGATAACACATCTCCACCTTTTGCATGAAATCAACCATACCACAGACAAGCACCCATCAAATAAGTTCAATTAGGATGTTCAAGAAAGCAATGGCTGGACCAATGCCAGAAGTGCCATTAATTTTTTAGGCAAATATCTCACTCACCACTTCCCTTTATTGCCCAATGTATTTAGCCAAAGAGGGGAAAATACCAAAAGACAAAAAATCTTCGAGTGAGTGGACAGATGAGTTTAATTGACAAGCTTATGTAGCTTAAAAAAAATGGATACGAAAACTAGCAGCAATAAATGAGGTCCACTAACCTCTAACCGAAAGGCACGTTCCCCTTGTTTCCCTTCTCTGTGCAACATCTTAATTGCAGCCACAGTGCCATCACTCAAAATCCCTCTATACACTACCCCATACCCTCCATTGCCTATCACATTTGCTGCACTAAATTTGTTTGTAGCAATCTCAAGCTCTTTGTAAGTAAAAACTTGTACACCCCTAAGCTTGGATGCAGCCATTTTAGTTGCACTGTTTCCATACAAACATCCGCCTTTGACATCTGCTCCATTTTCACCAGCAAAACATATACCCATATCATTCAAGAACAGATAAAAAGTGTACAAAAACAATCAACTAAAGCAGGGATATTTGCATTATGTCTTACCTGGACTTGAGCCTATGTTTATAGAGCTGTGAGCAACGAACATGCAGTCCTTGTTGCAGATGATGCTTCCGCTTTTGGTGCTACCATGGCTCTTGTGGAACTGAAGTTTTCGAAGCATTATTACTAATAGAAAGATTGCTAGGAGTAAAATGACTATGAAGATGGGAATGACAATTAGAAGGATGGTGGTAGAAGGAAGAGCAGCATGACGATGGTGATGGTCAGGTTCCAAATGGTGGTAATTTTGGTGTGTTTGGGAGTGGTTTTGTCCTGCAAATTCAGGGATTGCAGGAGCTGAAATGGTGCTGTTTTCCATGAGAAATGCAGAAAAGAGTGAATGAATGAACCTAGCCAGAAGAAAAGAACACGAGAGAAAGAGAGAGAGAGAGAGGAAAAAACGAGTCGAGTATTGTTGTGAAGTGGAAAGAAAGGCTGCAATTTTGAATATGTAGTAAAACAATTTTGTTTTCTTTCCTAGGATGATACTCCTATATTGGTTTTGTGACCACATGATCCATATTAAATTGTAGTATTATTCTCCTTCCTTAATATGTTATATTGCCTCTATAAGCCCATAGTTTACCTAAATTGATAATTCCATAGAGCGTGTATCATGATTGTTGAGTGCTAGGGAATTGTCTGTACTTGAGTTTGTCTCTTACGTTGTATTGAGTACAAGGTCAAGTCTTTGTCTTGCGGTGAGCTAAAATTGAAAGTTTTTTTTATGCATTTCATGACTGTACAAGCAAGATAGATAGCATATAACCAAACTGTAATCTGCACAACTTTATCATCTAAATACATGTGAAACTTCGAAGCAATCGACAGTAGAAATGGACTTGTAATATGTACCATTAAGGAAAAGGGGAAGGGGCAGCTCCAATTCTTAGACCTGGATTTTGAACATATATGGTGGTTAATAATCAATCACTACATGCACAAGAATGTGTTCAAACTGATCTGCATCACCAAAATCATATACTACTGAGGATGACTTCAAATGTCTCAAATAGGTTTGAGACACCGAAACTACTTTTGGTTCTGGCTTCAAATGTCAGATCATGAATCTACTATATTTGAATAATTTTAAATGCACTGAAAATGTATATATTCACACCCTAATATATAAACGCTCTTTTAAAACTATACTAGCTTCATTATAATAATGAAATAAGTCCGGTTTCTTCAAATAAATGCCCCACTTAGTTACACATTTCTTCAAGAATAAATCCACACAATTAAGAGTGAAAAATCTTGGAAAACCCCTAAACTATCACCGTTATCCACTTTTAGCCCTTAATCTATTTTTGTCTCCAATTGAGACCTGAGCAATTAAAAGTGCATAGTTTAAGGAGTTTTAACCATTTAAGACATAAGTCAAAAGGAACTAAATTAAAGAGCATTTTTGTCCAATCTTAATCAAAAGCAATCGAAACTTATCAAAAAGCATCAAGAGTGGGAGCCGAAGTTCTAAGAAAAGAAAACCCTTCATTTTTCTTAAACTCAGACATCAAATTTCTCCTCGAAATTCTCAAATTCATTGATTTTATGCCTAAGAGAGACATGAAAAATTTGATGAAACTTTGGCCACCTAAGTATGAAATCAATGAATTTAGAAATTTTGTGGAGAAATCTCACGAAGAGTTCAAGGAAAATGAGAGTTTTCTCTTCTCAAGATTTTTACTTCTGCTCTCCATACTTTTGATTAAGTTTCCGATACGTTTAATCAAGATTGAACAAATATGCTCTTCGGTTACTTATGTCTAAAATGATAAGAAGTTCTTAAAAATTATATACTTTTAATTGTTCAGGGGCAGTCGAAGATAAAAAAAAAAAATAGATTAGGAGACAAAAAATAAATTAGAGACCAAAAGTGGACAATGATAATAATTTAGAAACTTCCCAAACATTTGACTCTGCGATTAATTAAGATGGCACTTAGTAACATTTTATCTGTGTTATATGAATGTATATTACAACAGATTTCAAAAGTTGTTCTATATTAAAAGGTGCAATTCCATCCACGTGTCGTGGAAGCTAGTAGCAGGGCTCCAGATTCTTGTTTTGGCCTTTAAAAGAAAAAAAATATATAAGAAAGAAAGAAATCCAGATCCAACTTGACCTGTGACCTGCGTCACAGGATATTCACAGGATATGATGAGAAACATAGGGCGTTGACCTACGACCATCAGACGGTGGCTGCACTGGCAATGCATTGATTAATTGCGTCCACATGCGAATCGGACGATCCGGAATCGGCGTTCCGAATGTCAATTGCTGCCCTGAATTTTAGGGAACCCAATTACATTCTCCAGTCCGGTCAGCTTCAAACGGATTTTGGAATATACAATCACAATGCGGATTGTAGAGGGCAAGTAAACAACTAGTGGGATTCGCTTAATTTGAAATTGAAAAAAAAAAAGCCCAAATCCAAATCCAAAACCCTTCCTTCCAACCCTACAAAAAATAGAAATAGAAGAGATGATAGCCCAAAACTATCTCGTGCCAAATGGGAGCAGAAAGTTTAAGTTTTATTTATTTAATTTTTTTTTTGAAAGCAACCGTAAAGTTTAAATTAAGGGGACCAATTTTAATTCATGTAAACTAAGTAGATAACATAAAATAATTTTAAACTTTTGCGGGGGCCAAAATTTTAAATTTTTTTAAAGAACGTTTTTTCAAAATTTTCAATTATCTACGGGAGGAAAATCAAAACTTCTAGAACTTTGGGGGTATAGGGACCCTCCGGGCTCCCGCCCTTGCCCGTGCCAAAGAATTGTAGGCATATTAAAGACGCTGTGAGCTACTTTGTTGGCTCTTTTAAGTTCTATCCGAACTTTTTCAAATCTTCCGTATGCTCCATCACAATAATACAGGGGATGATCAAAACGGGAATACAATAGAAACATACAAGACCTACTCGTCTCATTCTGTTCACAATCTCATAAAGAAATATACATATATATATATATATATATATAGACACACATATATATGTATACATATATAGACACACATATATACATACATATGTATATTTCAAGTGCAAGATTTCGAATATCTAACGTAATTTTAAATCCTTTCCTGATGACCAACTTATCATAAGTCCCTTTCTGATGACCAACTTATCATAGGCAAATTAGCTTCAAATCATCATTGGCATATATATAGATATACACACACACACACACACACACACACATATATATATATATATATATATATATGTATATGTATATTTCAAGTGCAAGATTTCGAATATCTGACGAAATTTTAAATCCCTTCTTGATGACCAACTTACCATAGACAAATTAGCTACAAATCATCATTGGCGTGGGCTAAGCATCTCATGCCTGACATAACATTCAAAGCATCAAACTCGCTTCAAATTCAAAAGTTAAAATGTCACATCTGTAAAGTCACAAACTTCATGTGGCAATTACACCTTTTTGTGTTGGAACAATTACATGAACAGTACCAGCATGAATTGAATACAAGTAGGACCAAAGCCCAAACTTAGGTGAACATTGCAAGTCTGAAGTTCAAATTATCTTTCCAGACATGGATGCCCTATTATCACCACCAACCTAGTAAAGCTTTCCAGTGTGTTGTACCAGTCATTCATAATTGCTCAATCAATATCAGTCAGAGTTGTGATTTTGCTGTTGAAGTGTGCTACTTTTGACACACAGGATTGTCGTCCCTTATCATTCGGTTAACTTGAACTTTAAAGAGCTTGATTTTTCTTACCTCTGATCCCAATTGAAGTACAGAGTACAAGGAATTGTGGACTCAAAATGATGGACCAATCTTGAAGAGTCATTTCAAGCAATCCCCCTCATTTAAGTTTTAACATAAAACTAGGCAAGGGGTACCACAGCACCTCAGTCATCCGGAAAACCTAGAAAACTGTTTAGAAGCTTGGCAACTGGAGCTGCATCACCAGGTTGATATGGAATTAGAGATCCCAAATCCATATCAGCAACGGTTTGGTAAAGTGTTTGGGGGCGAGCACAAAATAAGTGTTTTCTCTCTGCCAGTTCTTCTGCCAGCTCACTTTGATGATTGTCCATTAAATCTTCATTTACTACCACAATCAAAGGTTTCTGTAAACGTAATGTCTCAAATATGCTCCCTGACCCTGAAAAATTATGGAAACTTGTTAAACATTCATCTAGTCATTTTCTTTTCAGCTAAGGGGCAGTCAGATCTGGTCAATCATTGAGATTTGTCTGACCTCTATCCTTGATGGCTTACAGTCTGATTAATGTAAACATCCACAAGAATGTGTTGCCAAATAGGAAAACAAGTATGTGCTTGGAGATAAGCTACAAGTAAAGGCAAAACTGAGGGGTAAAATGTAAGAGAGTGGTGGGAGTACAAGAAGAAGAAATCTTCCGTACAAATGTGGCAATTAGTAGGGTAAATGCAAGCTTAAGTATCTTAATATCCATGGCTTGGATGGAATAAATGAGGGCAAAAAGTGTATAAATAGGTAAATACAAATATATACAGGTGTAGTAATTTTCTGACACAACATTTGCAAAATCAAAACTTAATCAGCAGCAACACACACTCTGTAGTTGAGTACAACCGGCATTTTCTCGCATAATAGATCCTAAATTTAAATTAGGGACTGAGTAACACAACATTGAACTAGTAAAACAATTGTCAACAAGCCAATTGAACAACCTTGAAACATGTAACATGTTTGGTATATTAGCATTATTCATTCAGTGATGCTTTGTATTTTGTCGACTTCATGAAACAGACAACATTTGCAATACCATCTTACAACAAAAGTACAAAATACAGACAAAGTTGAAAACAAAATTTGAAGCATGAAGCATTCTGCAGCAGCCATGAAATGACATGTTAAAACCAAGTGAAATATCTTTTCAATTTTATATCAATATAAAGATGGGAGTTGATGGTTTTTCACGATAAATGCAACACCAAAGATCTACAGTTGTTCAGTTTGAACCTCCATTGTGGCCGTACTTTATGATATTGTACTGGATAGCACATAATGTCCTAAAGACAATTAAGAATCCAGATAAGCTTTGGTACTCGAGAATTATGCATCTGTAGAGGTGTACTATGCATATGTAAAGGCACCTCTAATTATTTAACAATGCCACCACTAGCTACTGGAAACATGCATTAGTTATAAATGCAGCTGTTTTTGCAACTAATATACAATGGGTGAGAACTTTTAGTCTGAAAAGAGTCAAAAGCAGATGCAATTTAAGTACAAAAACTAACATAATGAAATTGAAATAAGATGAGCATTTACCCGCATGACTGATAACAAGAGATGCAGATCTCAGATAGTCAGTGATGCTTGATGAAAATGTGAAGCAGTCTACTTCCAGAGACCCATTTTCTCCAGTAGACTGCAAAAAGAAAAGTTTAAGAGAAATTAATAAACAAGTAACAATTAGTACAAACTCAGAAGAGAAGGTTTCGAGTGTTAAAGAAAACTTTCACGTCTATCCTTGGTATCAAAGAACCATTGTCTAAAACTAGGAACTACTTTCGCCAAGAAAAATCAACATATAAGTAGGCAAGATATTCTAGTTCTAGTTTATTTGGCTAACTCATTCTAAACATCACTATATATAGAATGTAGTAGTTGCAAGATTCAATGTCTAATGACCAACTGCTCTATCAGATTGGAGTTTTTGTCCTAGCCAGACATCTAGGAGACACATATTGATTAACTGGCAGCGTTCAGGCTATAGCAACATCTAAGACTTAACTCTTTCGTTTCAGCATACATTGAGGACTTCACTTATATTTAACATCCGTTTCATTCAATTGCTTAAATTATTTAAGCATTCTCCAAAGAAGCCATCTCTTATAGGTTTCCCAACTAATCTAGACTAAAATTCTAGCTAAAACAAAAATGGGATTGATGCAATAACTTTGGCTATATTTTCTTCCATTTTGGGTTAAATGCTGAACAATCAAAACAACTAATAAACAACTTAAAATCTAAAACAACCTTGTTTAGTGGAGCAATCAGAGTAAAGGAAGCAAAATATTTACAATTACCTTTGCAGGAATGTAGGAACCCCGACCCATTTGAATCAGAAGGTGAGTATAGCCTTTTTTGAAAAGTTCTTCCTTAACTTCCTGAGTATCCACTGCTCTAACTAAAGAATCAAAACAAGTTGTCCCGACTGTTACAAAAACCGTTCTCCTTGATTTCAAATCCTCATCTGCCTCGGCCATTTAAGAGTTCTTCAAGTTTTTCAAGGCAAGACTAAAACCTACAACCTGTCCCAAAAAGGCACATGATTTCTCACATATTCAAAATCAACATGCTGCCATTGACAGAGGAAAGAAGGAAAAAGAAATCAACCATAAAAATCCGTTAGAGGCTTAGTATACATCTAGTCATCCCAAAAGTTTTATTTATAAAAATTACGTGCAAATTCAGCTCAAAAGGCAGTGAATTACCTAGGAGTTAAAGGTACAAAATTTCAAGTCGACTAATCCATCACATACTCGCTATTTCTGCCAAAAGAAAACTTCTAAATGTTCTCCAAAACTGATAAAAATTCAAAGATGAGAAACTCATGAGCCTTAATGTTAGTGGTCGAGGAAAATCCTTTTCAATCAACCAGCATTCATTCTTGCTTGAGCGCAACATAGGTCACAAAGATTATATGCCTCGACAATGACACTACCACTAATTAAGAGCCAAGAACGACAAATCATGTAATTCACTACCCTATGCTTAATCCATCTATCAAGATTGTGTCAGGAGTTGCAAGTTCGAATGCAACCACCACCTAGACCATTACCAATCTAATATCATCTCCAAAAGACGCCACAACAAAATATTTTCGCAGAAGTTGTTCATGAAGATTTATATTGAGAGTATTACACAAACCCAAGCAAAGGCCTTGGGTCCTTACAGCAATAGCATGCATCTTCTCCATTAGAAACTACTGAAACATCCCACCATAATCATGATCAAATTAAACTGGGTAACTGGATGACCATTACCTTTATAAACTTTATCATCATCACTTTCTTGCAACAATCGCATTGGCATGTGTATTCAACCATATCATAAACATAATTATACTCACTCCCTTATTCTCAATTTATCCAAATAAACTGCAGTGAGAAGGCAACCTCAACATCAAATCCAGTAGATCACATTACTACCCTTAAAACCAAACAGAGAATTGCATGAAAATTGCCTTTTATGTGAATAGAACAAAATGAAAACATATCATTTAGAATATTTGAAACATTTATGATTTAATTGTGTATGCTCTGTCAAAAAGTTTCATCTCAAACATTACTAGGAATTAGAGTATCAACTTTAAAGGGGCAAGCGTTATTGACACGTACCATAAAAATTTAATCTTTCTGCCAATTTGCACATGAATTAATAAAACATCTTGCCAAAAAGCACCACAATTTAGAAGTGACTGTCTCAGATTGTGTTTCCCCACAAAATTTGGGCAACAATTAAGTTTTTAACAAGCTTCACAGCAAATCATGGGCCGAAGAAAGTATTGGACAGGAAAATCAGTGTTTTCTACACAGATGCTCTTCTAACTTGCCACTAGAATGGTAATTCAGTTCATTTGCAAATGAAACCTTTCCAATCCACACAATCATGTGTAAGCTGCTGCTAACACTATGACCAGTATGCAAGAAACATAAGCACTACAACCAAAAGACCCACAACTCCTAGTCTTCACAGTAGCCAGGCTCATGCAATTGAAATGCGATAACCCCAAAAACTCAAGTTAATTAGCAAGCCCAAAAGCTTTAATGTAATGAATACTGACTGGAAACCGAAAAACAGAGACAGACCTGTTCCCACCTAATTATTGAACAATTTAAGCACACAAGGAAACAATAAGAAAATGAAGATATCAGGAAAAAAGATGAAGCTTTACCTGCAATCACTTGCCAGCAAAATTCCTCGCTCGATCTAGGGCTCTGGGTTAGGCAAATATAGGAGGGATTTAGACAGAGAAGATGGATTTAATTGAGTAGTGATTAGAACGACTAGGGGAATGGGAGGCGGTGGTGGCAGCTGTAGAGGAAGGAAGGAAACGATGAAAATGATGTTATGGATTTAGGAAGGGATGGGAGCAACCAATTATGAGTAAATTTCACTAAACAGTCAATAAGTTTCATCGGATAAATGGTAAGATTCATGAAATAAATGGTAATATTTGGTACTAGAGGGGAAACTTTTTTTAACCACTACAACTTACCTTTTTTCAGATTGAACTTATCATTTTTAGTCTTTACTGGTTCTTTTGGGCCTTGCGCTATGCGCAAGAGTGCCCAAGATCTACTTAAATCAGCTTAAATCAAAAGTTAACCAAAGCATGTAATATTAGCAAAACAATGGTCATAAACTCATTCAAATGATTATGGGTTTTTCTAATGGGTGCTCTTAGGACACTCATTAACACACCTAATATTCACATAACCTAACATATATATGCATATACTAATATTTACTAGTTTTTTGGGCCTTGAGCTTTGCGCGAGCATGCCCAGGTCCTATTTTTAATAAAATCAAATAAAAACATGTAATATTAGCAACATATTGGTTATAAACTCTCTTTATCCATAATACATCGAGCTATTTGAAATCAAAATCACTAATTAGTAAGCACATGATCTATTACTTCAAGAATCAGCGGTTCAAAGTTCAAGGTTCCAGTGCTAATCAAATTCTAGTACTGAACAAGATTCAGCTGTTCTCTGTTGCCTCAAATTGCACTCCGTCACAAAAAAACAAGTGTTGACCTGAGTTCAAATTGCAAAAAAGGTTATTACATTATTCAAGATACAGCCGTTAACTTGCACAAATTTTGAATACAAAATTTAAAACAAGAACTATCTTGAAAAAGGGAAAAAAAACAGCATCTTAATTGTGATTCAATCAACTGACAACCCTTAAACAGTGTCAAACCAAAACTATGCAAATCCACAATTTTAAAACAAGAAACTCTAACTTGGGCACTTGAGATACAAAATGTTCAAGTTGTTAGTGTGGTAGTTCCAATCTTTCCACGCACACTCTTTACTACGTCATTCTTTTCAAATGGCCAAAGAACGTCCTCCAAGGCCATACTGACCAACCAATCAACATTAAAATGACACCTAAGATAACTAATGCAAGAAAAATAGCAGGAATTTCTTGAATCTGTCAATAAGCTGCGTAAAATAGTTGAAGCATAAAATCTAGTACAATAATACACTTCATTGAAGAATCTCTATCAGTTCTAACCAAAAATAAAAGCTACACATCCACGCATGCACAGTGTTATGCGTTCCAAATGCAATAATAAAAAAATCCAGAAAGAAGTAAAAAACATATCAATGTATCGGAAATGCCAATTAAGGTATTCACCACCACCTTTCAAACCAACGAACAAAAGAGAATCGCTAGCAACCAAAACACAAGTTGCTTTGCAAACAACAGATAATTCGGGAGTATGCCTAGTACAGAAGTGGACAAAAGTTTCCCAATCCACGAACAAAACAAACCTCAGGAGATCCAAATGCAATTCCAATGAAAGCCTGCCACAGTTCAGAAGAATCACAATATATAATTGATTAGATTATTGGATAAATTAGCTATTCTATCTTAACATCTTTACAATAGTCACCTGCAAACAAATGCACAAAAACTAACCAGAATTTTCACAAAAATCTTTAAAGTTTAGCATGTATTTCATGTAAAAAACCAGGACCGAGAAAGGCATGGCCGCCGATGACTAATGATGTACCAATGTCCACATGACCAAGCGCATCATCTTTGATACTTGAAACTAATATGCAAGCTCAAGTGCTTCATGGCCAGAGAGCAGATTAAGGCAGTTCAGATACAAGTGTAAATTTTTCCCGGCTACATATATAGCATAGTAAATTACATCTCCAGTAATTGCTATACTACTCTGAATGGAGCACTGATGTACACAGAAAATATACTTAGAAAGCTGACTACTATAGTCATTTTATTGTTGAAGAATTGCAGTAGCTTGATCTGATTGATCAAATGACTAGCTTAGGAAATTATGCAATATAGGCATTAGGAATCCCCATTTCAGCAGGAATGCTATTATCAATAACCTTCACAGCTTTGTGAATTTGATTGGCTTGTGGCACAAGTGCTTTCTTGACTTCTCAGAAAGGTCTCCAGAAGAAAACACATGACAGTAGTAGTCACCACTTTTCTTCCTTCTGCAGAAATCCTCCTAAATGACCCTAAACCCATCGACCATCCTGACATCCTTCCTTGTTCAGCATAACAAAAATCAGTTTTCTCAAAGTTGTAATTATTTCCTGTCCACTTAGGTGTTGGATTTGACACAAATAGAAGTTTGGGTCAACTTTCATAGATCTATGGTGATTATAACAGCAAACAGCCGATTGCCTTTAACAAGAAGAATGCATCAAGTTTTCTCATCCAGGGATGTTGATGCTTATGTTTGACCAATCATCCTCAGGCACCATTCACATGACATTTACTTAGAATTGAACTACAATGGTCATGGCTTCTAACTATTTTGCCACAGTAGTCTTAACAAACATACATCAGATCAGTCCTTTAAAATCAAACTTAAAAACTGTAGTAAAGGTTGTGCTAGAACTATCCATACGCTAAGCCAAGCCTAAAATTCTCATCACAAATGACCTGTAGGGAGAGAGTAATTCTTGCATCTAAATATTAGAGATTCACAAACATGCTCCAGCAAACCATTTTTGCCACACACTATTCTCTATTTACATACTCCACTTTCTGCATTCTAACTATTAACTTCACCACCCATAGACATCTAATTCTGCTGAAGCACAAATGGCAAAACTGAAATGGAGATAGTACACCATTGATGAACATAGTAAGTGACAACAACTGCAGCCTTGTGTAATGAGAGAATATTGAAAGAGAGAAGTATGCAATACAACAATCTTGTTTGCTGTTGTAATTTGCATAAGATACTTACCATTTGAAAAAGATGCACATTCTTTTAGGCCTATTTGAAGCAAAATAATTATGCACAAAATTAGTGGTAAAACTAACAATATTTTGTTTGGTGTCAAACAGCCAAGCACAAATCCCCCCCCCCCCTCTCTCTCAAAAAAAATAAATTTCATAAACTATCATTCTTGGCTATAGAAAGTATTGAAAAAGACATAGTGGAAAAGACTTGGATTCAATTCCAATACCTACAACTACTGTTTTTGATTTATTATATTCACTGTGAGGTTTTTGGTCCAACCATCTTATGTTTGTATTCATTGCTCTTAATCAATCCTCCAAATTTTCATTTAAAACATCATATCATTGGAACTTGTGTTTGGGATAAATAACTGATGATATCATATATTATTTAGCTAAAATCATTATTTCATCCAAAATGGTGCCAACTTGAAGAGTCAGAAATATATTCACGCAAGTACGATAGTGTCCTCTCGACATCTTAATTCTTAACACAAAATACTGCACAACTATCAATTTTTTTTTTAATTTTTTTTTTTTTTAGGGGTGTCCCGCAGGGAGTGGACCCCGCAGACTATTCCCCACCCTCCACAACTTGCTGGCAGCAAGGTTCGAACCAGGGACCTACGGCTCCATCTTCAGCAACCTCAACCGCCAGACCAAGCCCCGGAGGGCGCACAACTATCAATTTAACTTTTCACCATAAGAAAGAAATTATCAACTGATGGAAGTTTCATGCCTAAGATAACTCTATATGACATATCTAAGATAATCCAAAATCCAGATGATAGTTATATGCATGTGAAGTATGAAGCCATAGGTTGATAATATCAGTTTCGAAATTGAAGACCAAATAAGCTTTAGCATTTAAAAAATTTCAGATTTCAGAAACATAGCACATTAAATTACACAAATTGGCAAGTTTACTAACCAATTTTGAAGTTTCCATTAAGAATCACTGAATCACCAAAGGCGGCTTGAAGCACATGCAATTTGAGATTTTCAAACCCTGCATAGATCATACCAAAATACTTTAGCACATAAATTGGTCAGAACACAAATCATGGGGTTAAATATTCAATCAATTAAATACAGGTACAGGGGATTAAAGATTCATTTAATCACACACAGGTAAAGCTTCAGTATGTGTTTAGATGGTCATTTTTAAGCATTATTTCTTAAAGCTGCGTAATTCCATGGGCAATTCATATCTCTGGCAAAACTGTTTTCGCAGATAAACTTCAATATTATACTGAAAAGGTACTTTTTGGAAAAGGAAGAGTAAGAAGAGTGAAGAAGCGTACAAACCTTGCCAATCTCACAAAAGATGGTAGCCAGGAAGAGAGAGGGATCGAGCAGTATTGAACAGTGGCAAAAGATTTTAACCACCAAGAACACAAGATGGTGGAAGAGAAAGAAGGTGAGGGGAGGGTGTATACCAAGTGCTTGTGAAGGAAGAGGCTGCCTCCTACGCTTATGCGCAAGCGAAGGGTGCCATGTGTCAAATAATCAAGTAACGCTTATTGGGAAAGATGTCCAAATACTTAAAATTTTCTGGGACTTGCACCAATATACCTACCAGCTAGAACCTAAGAACAATCAAGTGCAACTATGCTTAATATTCAAAATACAAATTAACAAATAGCTAACAAGCACAGTAATTAGTAGACCAAAATCTTCAATCTTTCAGCCCAGAAGCTACAAGAATAACAAAAAACAAAAAATAAGTACTCTTAAACAACTACATCAGTGAAATTCATATCCAGAAGAAGATCATTGTAACAAAAACAAAGAGTTATGGCAGCAAACATGGAATCAAAATTCAGCCTTCACAATGAAGATTAGATATACACAAATACCTCATCAATAGTATATAGAGAAACCTCTCTAAAACCTTTTGCTTTATGCTTGACCATCCACCGACTGGATTAACAGAGAAAGCTCATCTCTCCCCTCCCTACATACCTTGCAAATAAACGGACCTAAATGGAAAACACAGAAATGCAAGTAGCCTCAGGTCCACTACATCAAAGTGGGAAGAAAGCTTGATGTGACCGATAGAATGCTCTACTTAAAACAGAACATTAACCCAAAAAAGAAAAAATCAAATCACATCCCATAACCAAGTGAGATACCTCCAAATAATGTTTCATGTATGACGAAAAGGATGTATCAAGAAACTGTAGAAAGAGATAAAAGAACAATAAAGCCCACCAAATCAAATCAACTGAGTCTCATCAATTTGATCCAAGGCGAAAAGCCCCAATATTAAATCAAAGCTTTGGGAATCAAGCTGCTGGCCTCAACTAAAGAAATACCAGAATGAGAGCAAAACTGAAGCAGTAAAATTATAATTGGTTGGTTCAAGGACAAGAGAAGGGGAGCATAAAAAGAAGGCGGTGGCTGGAAGAAATTTAATTTGTATCTTTGATTTCAAAATTGCGATGTTTCTAGGAGAAAGAAAGAACTTGGCTGGTATTAAAAGGAATACTGAAGTCTAACAAGTGTGGACGGGGAAGAGGCGGAAGGGTGGAAGAAATTTGAGAGAGGGGGGGAAGGTTTGCCTCGGCCCACGGGAGGGAGAAGAAACTAGGGCTGCAAACGAGCCGAGTCGAGTCGAGTTTTGGACTTATCGAGCCGAGCTCGACTTAAAAATAAGCGGGCTCGAGTTCGAGCTCGAGCTCGACGAGCCTAGAGAATTGAGCTCAAGCTCGACTCGACTAAAAAACACTAGGCTCGAGCTTGACTCGATAAGGCTCGCGAGTTAAAGCTCGATTTCTGGCTCGCGAGCAACTCGAATCGTGAGCTCGAATTTTTGACTCGTGAGCAGCTCGTTAGCTCGAATTTTTGCAATTAATCTAATAAAAAACATCATTTTATCAACTTATTCCTAACCAAATTATGAGCATAATCATAGCTTACAATTCATGGTTACAATTGACCATAATTTTTCACATGATCATAATAAATAAAGGCCTACAAATTTTTCACTAAATACAATCATAAATTTAGAAATACATACCACATAAAAGTCTAGAATTTAAATGCCCAGCACTTCATACAAGTTCAACATTCTCGGTCACAAAGTTCAATATCAGAAAATAAGTAAATAACAACCAAAAGCAAGCCAAGAACTTCCTACTACAGAAACATATCGAACTACAAAGTACAAACTAAGCACAATCATTGAGGTCACGAACTTCTTCTCTTCCTCTGATCAGCAATAGAAACATATTGAACGTGGATAAGTTTGCAATTGGCAATGGCAATGCCAGGACGTGGAGGGCCCAGTCTGAAGCGCAAAGAGTCACAAAGTTTTAGACAATCTACAAAAACGGCAGCTAAAAATCCTGCCCAGAATTCAACTAATGAACAGCCCAAACAATAAATTAAACAACAACTAAAAATCATCTGAAAAAAGGGAACTAAACCAGCCAAATAACTTCCATTTTAGTTGCAATGAAACCAGCCACCAAATAGATCATATACACATATAAAGAAACCAGCAGCCAAATGAATAAAGAGACCAACAGCGCTAAAAATCCTGCCCAGAATTCAACTAATGAACAGCCCAAACAATAAATTCAACAACAACTAAAAATCATCTCAAAAAAGGGAACTAAACCAGCCATATTATGAAGTATGAACAAAGGAAAATAACAAAACATGATTAGACAGCCATCGTTTACTCTCAAACATTCAATACTATAAATCACATAGAACTAACGAGCTTGTGGTTTTTAATTCTATCAAATTTTCTATATTAAATCATCCCAAGCAGAAAAATATCAGCCAAGAAAAAAGTGCAAAAACCAGCCCAAACAGCTGATTAAACAGCCCCAAAAAAATAGCACTTAACTGCAAAAAAAAAAAGCACTTAACTACAGAAGTTCCCACCTGGAAAAAAAAAGCCAATGATATGTTGTTTTTTAGTGGTAATCAAATCAATTGTCCTGGGCAGTGTGCTTTAATATACCACAGCTTTTGATAGATGCAATACAACAACCACCGCAATTAAGAACAATTTAATGTCTTGTCTGTTTAGACAGCTACCTTCATCCATACACTTAATATGACCTTACTAAGATTGCACCTGCCGGCCACCTGACAATAGAACAGAAGGAACGAAAGAAGGGCATGATAGACTAAATAAAGCAGTGCACCATTTCCAGGACCTTAAATCTGGACGTTAATTTGAGAAAGGATTGCCCAGCTTCTCCACAAGGTCGAAAAAGCTGTTCTTTGACCAATTGATACTACTACTGTGGTAGTTGCAGCAAAGTGAACTGAGCTTCTCAACGTTTAGAATTTTATGTGTAAGCAAGATTCCATCGAAAAAGAAGACATACATAGAAGGAACTCCCCTCAACGTGAAGCCCGTCAAACATGCCATCAAGCACTTGCTGAATTAAAGTGAAACATTAATGGCACATGGATTCTCTAGAAGGACAATTGTGGACTTGCCAATTTAGTCCAAGATCCGAACAAATATGAGTAGCGCCAGTGTCAAAAATTGAAGGGAAAAAAATGGGCAAAAATGAAATGATACCAACTTCAAATTACACAAATTCCTACATTCACAGCCTTCGCCGTCTCCTCATCTGGGTCGAACTTAAAATTGACAATGAACTAGAATGAAACACCACAAATGCCGTTACGTCTATAAACATTTGCACTAAGGAACTCGGAGAGCAAAACGAGAACAGAGGGCGAGAGGTTGGAAGACGTCGAAAGATACCTGAGAGCCGCCGGTGTTATTTTGATGGCGATGGGTCCGAATACAGCTGGGCTGAGGAGAAGAAGTCGAATTGCAGGCGATTAACTTTACAACGTGGCGGTGGTGGCTGTGGTGGCGGTGGCTGAGGCTGAAGGGTGGCGGTGGTGGTGATGGCTATGGTGCACTCGTGGCGGCGGTGGCTAGAATATGTTTGAGAAAGTGTGAAGGAAAGATGAAAGAGAGATGCGGGACAGCGGAAGAGGAATTAGAAATGCAATTCAATTTGGGGAAACAACTTTTGCTCTGAAGTCTGAACCTCGGCCCTCTGATGCTTGAATTCCAACTTCCAATTTCGAGCTTAGTAATTAGTTATACAAATAGGGGTATTTTTGTAATTTCATAAGGCTCGTCGAACTACCGAGCTTAATTTCATATGGCTCGAGTTCGACTCGCTTTATAAACGAGCCGCTCGAGCTCGACTCGAATTCGAGTTTGACCGAATTCGAGTCGATCTTTGACTCGAGCGGCTCGCGAGCGGTTCGATTCGTTTGCAACCCTAGAAGAAACTCATAGGCGTATAATAGGCATATGAGGGTAAAATGGTAAAATTAAGCAAAACCGCAAGTGCCAGATCCTGCACATTTCCACGCAATCACACATCTAGCACATTACCACTTCAAAATGAAATTTCAAGTTAACCCACCACCTACTGAATTTGTTAATCGGAGATCAAAACATTGTTCATAACTTCTTCACTCTTTTATTCTGTTAGGAATTATTATTATGATATGATGTCATATTAAAGAAAAAAAAGGTCGGACCGCTTCAGACTCCAATGGATGTTGTATTTGGAAAAATTGCATCAAAATATTGAGTGATCTGAAATTTTAAGCCTGCAAAATTAAAAGGAAAAATCGCGAATTTGGTCCCTAAACTTTTTTACTTAAACCAATTTCGTTCTTTATGATTTTTTTTCACTAATTTAGTTCTCAAATAATTTTATCGGGTTCAATATAGGATTTATTGGACGGCGCCACCATATTTTATGTATTTCGCACGGCAGATCAGAGGTATATTTAGAATGACTGGTTCAATTGTCTGAATTACTGCATATTGCACATAAAAGCCCTTACACCCATTCTTCAAGTTCACACCATCACGTAGCCATAGGTCCAAAAACAAAATTTTCATGCAGGACTAACAATAAAATCAAGCCCTAGATGACATTGGATCTTGTATACACCTCTCCACTGCTGTCAATATCTAGACCAGGATTAACATCAAGATCATCAGAAACCAGGTCATATATATAATCATCCATCATGTCCAGAATATACAGGCCAACAGGTGGTATAGTGGCCTTACATATCATCTGCATGATAGGATCTAAACTCCGCATTGGCTAGTCAGGCTCTACAAATTTGTTGCTCATGTTATTTTCATCCACCGGATCTCTGCAGGAACTGTAGGCAGAAATAGCAAAAAACAACATTAACTAAACCAATAAAATGTAGCTTGAGTCGTGTTTAAAACACTGTCTTAAGAAACTATTTCGTGAAGTTAAAATGTTTTTTCAGGATTAAACAAACCTTCTTCTTGTTTATAACAAGAAGTATCAGAACTTTAACAAGCGTCGGCTAAATCCAGCAGAGAGGGAAAGTAAGAGAAGAAGAGAAGTAGAGGAAGAAAATTGTCAGAAAGGTATCCACTGTCAGCTGATGGTGTGTCTCTAAAGTGGGAGCACAGCTGCTATTTATAGGTAGCAGAAAGTGTACGTTAGTAAAAAATAATATCTTATAACTTAAAAACGTGGCTAATTTTCTGTGTAACTGAAAGGTAACGTTGAAAAATAATATCTGATAACATAGAAACGTGTGTAGCTGAAAGTAACGTTTAATTTATGTTAACAGATAGTAATAATAAAAGAGAACGTTATCTTCTTAGGAAAGAGTCAAATTTTGATCACACACTGGGAGGAAATCCGTCAGTTTGTACTGAAACGGCCCAACTCAATCTTTTATGTGCACGAACCCATACTAGTTACCAACTTAACATAATCCCAATAACAGACTACACATTATAAATGATGAGAAGTCTTTTTAGTTTTTCGATATGGGATAAGATATTTTGAAATATCCTTTTTATTTACAACAATCTCCCGCCTATTTTAAAAGATTTTGGTCAAAATAAAGAAACAGTCTGCTTGATTTATTTGGATGAAATATAATCAATTTGGTGTCTTTTGGACTATGAACCAAATTTAGATTGACAAAACATGACCTACAGAATATTGGTGAAAATGAACCAATAACTCTTGATGTATGACAGAAATTTTATCAATTACACTACAACCCATAACTTGCTGTTATCGTGATTTTGTGCTTTTAGGCCGTGCGCCTGCCTGATTATTCATGAGAACTCTAAAAATTCGGCCAATAAATCTTATAGAAGCGACCTCACTCCACTTTCATATAGGTGAACTCATTAAGTACTTATTGCTTTTAAATACACCTCCTTAAAGGAATATGAATTTATTAAGAGTTTTAAACTCAACCTCACAATTATTAGCAATCAAAGCATTTATTTCCGGAGGGGCTTAGATTTGAAATGATTTACGGCCAATATTGACTTGTTATTATCCATATGAATCTACTTCATGGGATTACCAATCACATAGGTTGAGTTACTGTCTCTATTGACAACTTGTTGGCTTTAGTCCCATTTCCCTTGTAGTTTGAAGAATTAATTTCCTTCCTACAGGTTTAGTCAGAGGATCGGCCAAATTCAGCTCTAACTTTACAAAATCAATAAAATAATTTCATCTTTAATCAGCTGCTTTACAACATCATGTCTTAGTTTCATGTGTCAATTTTTACAATTATATGATTTATTTTTAAACCATACGAGTGCTCATTTTTTTAAAACGTTGCAAAATCAATTCATTATTAATTTTATTAAATACATCTTTTCAATGAAATTAAATGAACCTTTTGTTTTTTTAAAAATAATTTGTGAATCACTATCAACTTGATCTTCTACAAGTTTTTTTTTTAAAAAAAAAATTTATCTTTACGGTGTTATAATAAAAATCATAGTAACTTAATTTCATATTATAAATAAAAAATTTATCATCCACTTGAAAATTTCTTGTTTTTGGAAACTTTGAAATTTGAAGAATTGGTTTTCTCACTTCAAGAAAGTTCACCTCTTTTTTTTGAAACTTTGGATGAATTTATTCTAGAACTAACTTCCATAAATAACTTGAAATAAATTCAAAATTATTGTGATGGTAAGAATTATAAAATTTCAATCATTCGTGGTCTATGTATATAAAAAAAGAGAATTTAGTAAAATTTAGTGGGGTCAAATAAGATGCAACTTTAAAATATTTTAAATTACCTAAGTCTAAAAACTAATTTTTCAAAATTAAGTGGGGTCAATTGACCACACTTGCTTGCACGTGGCTCCGCCACATTCTTTGGAGGTGGAGGTATTTTCTAGCTATTAACAATAATGTATTTTCTAGCTATTATTCACGATGACATACTTTCATTGAATGGCAGTTGTTGACTCTAGATATAAGTTGCTGGAAAAAAAATCAAGCCTCATCCTCGCTAAAGCCCTCTAGGGTTATGAATTCATTGAAATAGCTCTCCAACAGAAGCATATTCCATCAAAATAGCCAAATTGGTTGCCATCAAAATCACCATTTTAAATATAACAATTTGTTTTAGATGCCTTAAAACCAATGGTCATTAATTTGCGTCTTCATATTTTACAACTAGCTTTTTGGTCAGCTTATCTCTAGCAAGTCTGGACATGCCAAAGTTACCCGACCTGGTATCCCTTACAAAATTATAGTAGCTAATGTTATCTATAAAACTTATTCTCTCCTTTTCTTTGTAAAACTCTTCCAACCAAAACCTAATTTAACTCTTTTATGATAAAGAGATCAAACAAATCTGGTTTTTCTATATAGGAACCTCTCTCTCTCTCTCTCTCTCTCTCTCTCTCTCTCTCTCGATTGTATTTCTTTGAGTAAAATGCAGAAACCCTTGTGGTTTCGTCAAAAGTCAATCAGCCACCATATAGTTCGAAATATCCGCATAACTTTCTTGTGCTTTTAAACTGATATGGAATTTCAACCATAATCTGTATGTGATCTACAAGTGATGTATTATTATTATTTTTTAAAAATTTTTTACTTTTCATTTTTACTTTTCTTTTTGGTACTCAAATATTTTACAACGATATTTTGCTCAATAATTTTCTATTCAGATTGGATTTTTTAGTGTATTTTTATGAAGTTTTTCTCTAAAAAATATTTGTAAAAAACTATTAAAATGTTTATTTTTTGAGATGTTTTGGTATTCTTTCACCTTTACCCATACCATCAACCTAACCAAGGACCCATCACTATTGTTGCATCTCCTTTCTGCTCCTTCCATCCTCTCATTGTCACCCCAATTCTCTCTCCACACTATTTCCCCTTTACCCAACCCCATTACCACTCCTTCTTCTCTCCTCTTTTTTCCTTTTCTTTCCTCCTCTCCATCTATCCCCTATTCTCCCTCAACCCCCTCTGCCCTCCACTTTGATACCAAATTTGATCGTGGATTGGAGGGTGGAGGAATGGTGGGAAGGAGAAAAGGGTGGAGAGAGAGAGAGAGAGAGGAGGCGGAGAAGGAGAAAATAGAGGCAAAGATAGAAGAAGTTGTTGCGATGATGGAAGAGTGCGACCTTGAGAGTGGTAGTGTCTATGGATGGTTGAGTAGGGTAAGAAGATGGCAGGTTATAGTGACAACGGTCATGGTTCATTGTCATGTTATTGGTCAAGATCGTGGATATAATTATTCCACATTGGTTGAGAAAAATTAGTTTGGTGATCATATGTATATTTCACAACTAATATTTTTCAAAAAATCTAAAAAAATTATCAAAAATATTAAATATTGTAACAATCACAATAATAAAATTAAAATTGCAAAATATCAAGATTAATAAAGCCAATCCCTAATTCTATAAAAGAAGTTAAAGATGTTATTTTAAAAAAGAGGTTAAGTCTGTTATAACCCTTAACATCAAAAGGCCACATATATGCATTCATCTTAGCCTAACGAGTCACCTGAGATTTATAGTAGAATATGGAGCCTCCAAATCTCTTGGGCCTAAATTTGTTATTTTCTATA